TTGATTCTAAAAACTTACTTCTGAAAACAATGGGGCAGCCACAGCTTCTCTGGGCAACCTGTGCCAGGGCCTCCCCACCCTCACAGGGAAGGATTTCTTCCCAATATCCCATCTAACCCTGCCCTCTGGCAGTTTGATTGAGTTGGAATCTTTGGCATCAGAGACAGAGAACTTCCAAATGTGTAAAGGTTGAAAAGAATCCTTTACACTGAGAAAAATCAGAGCATAAAGCTTTTCTAACCAGAGTGTATCAAGCCCAACTGCAGCAGAGTGGCTTTGTAGAATGCCAGAACCTGCTTGCTCCTCTGGGATATGGATCAATCCAATGCTAGACCTCACCTGTGGGAACAGGAATACCCACATTGGGGCAGGGATTACCTGTGGAGGCTTTTCCCGTTGCTCCTTCCCCGCGTTCCTGCGAGGTTTTGTTGCTGCCTGCTCTCAGTGTGTGTCTCTCTGTCCCCCAGCACTCTGGAGCACCTGAAGCGCTGGCTGCAGCCTGACAAGGTGGCCATCAGCTCCGAGGAGGTGCAGTGCCTCATCCCGCCGGAGCCGCAGCCGGAGAAGCAGGAGAACGAGGAAGAGCCTCCGGCTGCGGAGCAGTGAGGGCCCCCAGAGCTGCCTCTTGCCCCAGCCCTCAGGAAGTTGTTCCCAGCCACAGTGATAACAGGGAGGAGGGCAAAGAGCAAATTGTCAGTGGTTTAAGAAGCAAAAAGAACCCCCCCAACACACGAAATTCCAGCTCTGGAGCTCCAGAGACGGTGACTGACATCAGTAAGGACAAGAGGGAGCGCCTGTGACACAGCTGAAGTGAAACCCCACTCTGATCTTCTCCCAGCCTGCAGCCACCTCATCATTCCAGCCTGGATGTGGGTTGTTTGGAATCCACCAGGAGACGCATTAAACAAAATAAACAAAGCAGTTGTTGAGAGGGATCAGAAAACACCACGGTCTAGAGCAGAGCAGAGCAAACCACTGAATCGCTTCTTCCTGTCTTCTTCCTGTTTATTACTCACTTGGGCATTTTTTCCTCTCCTGCCAAGTCCACTGGGGTGTTTTCTCCAGATCTTCCCTGTTTCACTGTGAGTTGCCCCAGGAAGACAGATCCTTTTCACCCCTGTGAATTTTGGGACCCTGCAGGAAGCTCTCACTGCAATCAATAAATTGATGGTGGCATTGATGTTGTACCTACTTCACACTCCCTAATACCCCCTAATATCCTACCTTATTACCCAAACTCTCTATTATAGACTGGAAGGGGGGTATTTTTCCTCTTGTTTGTCATTTTGTACCTGTTCTTTATCCCTTCAGCCTCTCTCAAAGAGAGTCAGCTGAGATTCTGTATCAAGAAACCAAGAGTGATAACCAGGGAGGCCACAAACAGCTGCTTTTCATCACAGACTTGCATAGAATTCTCTGAATTGAAGTATATTTAGTATTTAATTGGGTTTTTTTTTACCCCGTTTAGCTCTGCAGAGGGTTATTTCCCTTTACTAATGGAAGAATCCGTAATTCCTGTGCTGATTTTTGGTTGATCCGTGTGTTCCACCTCGGCACCGACACTGGGGGTCGGTAGAGGGAAGCAGCACACGCCTGTCAGGGCTCCTGAAGAGAAATTGTGGTTCTAGGAGTTTAACCACACCAGATTCATCCCGTGTTCATTATGTACCTGTTTGGAAATACATCTTTAAGAGTAAATTCTTTCTAGACCTTCCCAGTTTCCTGTCTCTGTGCATAAATGGTGCTGCTCTCCCGGTCACCTCTGGACAGTTAATGTTATTTTATATATTCCTAAAGGTACCTGAGAAAGAAGTGCATCCAAAAGATCTGTACCTGGAAGAACTCCAGATCCACATCACCGACCATTTCCTTTGGAGAAAGGACCTGAGGGAGCAGCTCTTACCATTTCATTTGTAAAAATAATACCCATTCCAGGATTCTCTGACCTGCTCCGTGGAAACGTGTAGGACAAAAGAAAATCAATCCAACTGATCATTGCAAAGAGTAAACAATAATTTCCTTAAATTAATTCATTCCTTAGATAGAGCTTTTTTTCCGCCTCCCATATATAATTAATATAATTTAGAATTATATAACTAATTATAGATCATTAAATGATAATGTGAAATATAGACTTGGGGTGGGTCTGTACTTATATCACCATTAAAAAAAACCTCAAAAACTCCTTTACAAGATCACTGAAACTGTGAAAAGCAGTGTGGTATGTCTGAGCAGTGTTGTTGCAATTGGTGATGCCACACAGGGTTTGAGCAGCAAGGACTTTACCTCCAAGTAAAGTGGTTTATTTTAGGGAAAACAAACTCAAACAAATTTTGGGTACAACCAGCAGCCTCACTAGGATTGGTTTTTGCTCCCGCAGCAACACCAGCCTTCCTGTCTGTGGAAATAATTCCCACAGAGGAAGGTCACGGAACCATTTAGGTTGGAAAAGCCCTCTGAGATCATCCAGTCCAACCCCAGCAGTGCCAAGCCCACCACTAAACCGTGTCCCCAAGTGCCACATCCACACAGCTTTTAGCTCCCTCCCAGGGCTGGTGACTCCACCACTGCCCCGGGCAGCCTGTTTTTAACAATTTAACCCAAAAGAGCCATCAGTGACAGAAAAGGCCAATTGTCAGCCAGTGCAGGCAGATCTGCAGCACTGGTGTCTGAAAGCATCACATCCAGCCCACGAGGCACAAGCACAGACCTGCCAGCAACACACAGGGCATGATTTCCCAGGCGTGAGAAATGAGTAATCACAGAGGAAACATCAGCCCCCCTCCTCTTTGTACCTGTTAAAGACAATGTTTTACCTTTTTTTCCCCGCAGGAAGCTGCATTTCTGTGCCCCCTCAGAGCCCAGGGAGACTGAGATCACCCCGGTGTGGTGGCACAGCCCCAGCCTGCCGGGGCTTTGCTTTCCAAATGGGGCACGATGAAATGAAATCTAACCCAATTCACCTGCTGCCTCATCAGAGCGAGGTGAGGGCAGGGCTGCAGGTACTGCCCGGCTGGGGGAGCACTTTGGGCAGCCAGGAAAGGCTCCCGCCCACCCAAACAAGGGAAAAAGGGTGTTCACCCTGAGCTAGGGCTGAGGGAATCGATCCCACAGAAGCATGAGCTGGCAGCACCCTGTGGTGATGCTGAGAATCACAGAATCCCAGAATAGTTTGGGTTGGAAGGGACCCAAAAGCTCATCTCATTCTACCCCCCTGCCATGGGCAGGGACACCTTCCACTAGCCCAGGTTGCTCCAAGCCCTGTCCAACCTGGCCTTGGACACTTCCAGGGATGGGGCAGCTGCAGCTTCTCTGGGCAACCTGTGCCAGGGCCTCACCACCCTCACAGGGAACAAGTTCTTCCCAATATCCCATCTAACCCTGCCCTCCTTCAGCTTGTGGCCATTAAATATCCCATCCTGCTTTGGAGCTGACAAGCTTTCAAGGATCTGGATTAGGAAAACCTGCGGTTCTTTCTGAAAACCACCCTGGCGACAAAGGAAAGGATAAAATCACAGCCAACTGATTCCTGTCAATCATCTGTACAGGGTGGGAGGGACACTGGGATGCTTCCAGCATCTCCAGCTCTCCAACTGGGAACCATCAGGGTGGGCTGCAGCTTTCCAACCCATTCTTGTACCCCCGAGCCAAGCCTCTGGTGCAGGGCCTACAAGCTTTGGGAATAAGAGTGACTTTTCCTGCAGGGTCTGGAAGCAGCAAAGATTAGGTCAAAGAAGGTTTTTCCAGGCTAAGCCCATGCAGAGGGAAGAGCTCCCAGTGCTGCAGCCAGGTCACTCTGGCCATGGCACAGCTGGACAGGGATGGAGCCTGTGGCTGCCTCGGGGTGCACGTGCCCTGTCCCAGGCACCCAGTGACTCCTCATCCTGCTGGCAGCTCCAGAGCCCAGCTCTCCTCCCAAACCAGCCTCTGGCAGTCCTTATCTGACTGTTCTGCTCTTTAAAATTAACAGCAGCTCTCGTCAGGCGCTGATACAGAGACAAAGACGATTTTTTTTCCTGCTGATTATTTGACAGGGACGAGCCCCTGGCTCAGCTCGGGCAGCTTTAATAACCAGCCCAGCTCCGTCAGATTGGGATGAATTAATCACTGCCTCGCACCAAAACTCTCAATTTTGCAGAACTTCAGTGACTGCTCTGACAATTTCCACCCCTCTTACCCCCAAAAAATACCGATGGATGATGAGTATTTTTAATGCTCCCCTATTTAAGTAAGATATGAGGGAAAAGATGAAGAAATCTTGCGTGTGGAATCAGAGACTTCTAAAGGAAATGGAGCTGATGGGCAGCGACTGGCTCTGGATCAGGATCACGGTAAAAATCCATTAGCCCTGGACTGCACACTTATCCCAGGGAAAATCGGAATTATTGCCTCAGGCTTCAAAGAGATGCCTGTGGAGAAGCAAAGGTTTGGGTTTCCTTCAAAGGAAAAAGAAAAGAAGAGCTAAAAATGACCAACAGTGTCCAGCCCTGGTTCCCGTTCTCATGTGGGACAATTCCCAACGGCTGGACCATCCTCAGCCCACCCTGTCCTTGCCCCACAACCACTTTTCGCTCGCCCCGGGATCCCCCGACGGGGCGGCCACTGCCGACCCCCGGGAGCCCCGCGCGGTCCCTGTGCCCGCCCCGTCCCCCCTGCGCCTTCCCTTCCTTTGCAGCCTGGGGAATGCCCTGGATGAGGCCCCGCAGCCCCTCCCGGGGCTCCCCGCAGGGCCGGGGGGCGGGATGCGGCTCCACGCGCGATGCGGGGCGGAGGGATGTGCGCGTCCCCCCCAGTACCTGCGACACCGAGCGCCGTGAGTGGGAACGTCCTGTCCCTCCGGGACTGAAAGGCTCAGGAAGCGGGAGGGCAAAAAAAATAAATAAACAAAAAATAAAAGACAAAACAGGACAAAAAAAACCCCCCAACAACACAAAAATCCCGCTGAGAGCGGCGGTGCCGGAGCCTCCCGGTGAAAATCACCCCGCGAAGGGAACGCTCCTCCTCATCCTCACGGGAACAGCGGCAGGCAGCGGGCGGCTCCCAGCCCGGAGCACCACGGACCCCAGGCAGGTAAGAGCGCTCCGGGACCGGGGCTGGGACAGCGGGGTCCCTCAGACAGACCGGGACCACCCCAAAACCCAGACAGAGCCGCGGGGTTCAGCTTGTACCGGAGTGGGAGCGGGACACTGGCGAAGCACAGAAGGGCTGGTTCGGCTCCTGCGGGGGCATGAGGCAGAATTAAAGAGTTCAACCGAGCTTCAGAATTTTCATTCTCTAATAGTTAATGAGCATTTTGGCTCCTCGGCTGCAAGTTTCCGGATGATTTTTGTGTTCCCGCCCCGGGCAGGGCACGGGGACCCGGAGCTGTGATACCACAGCGTGCGCTCCGCCTGTGCAGCCGGGGTGCAGAAAACCACAATATCCCTCGGTTAATTACAGGGGTTACTTAATTAATGCTGGTTTGACTCTCCACGGGGGGAAAAAGACTGTTCAGATCCTAGTGAGGGGAATGAAACATTAATTTTGACACCGTGGGGTCCAAGAGAAGGGTCCTGGAGGGGAATTCTTCATTTCCATACACTTTCTGCTGGCATATATTTGACCGCATCCCCTCTGTGCTTCTGTGAGCGGGTTTGTGGAGGTTCCCAGAGAACCAGGCATTCCCTTCCTCCTTCCATCCCTCCCAGCCCAGCTGCTACAGGGAAAGACAGGAGAAGCCGAAGTTCCGTGGATGGTGGAGAAATAACTTAAGGGGGTGAAATAATCCAGCAGGATGGGGGAATGGGGCTGGCAGGGAGAGACAGGGGAGTGCAGGGGATAGAAAGGACCCTCCTTCCCAGCCGGGTGGGCGGAGGCTGACGGGTCGGGGTGGAATTAACTGGGATAAATGAAAAGCAAGAAATGCAGAACTGCCTTTTATTTCTGCCTCCATGAGGCTTCCGGAGCTGCTTTCCGGGTCCTGCTGCCCCAAACTGGCAGCTCCCCGCAGATCTGGGCTGGCTGATTAACCATTTCACAGCCAGCTTCCCAACTTTGCTCCCTGCCAGGGGCTGTGCAGGAGGACCTGGACGCTGGGGACGGCTCCTTCTGCCCTCAAGTTCAACCCACACGCGTTTCTCTCCCCTCCAGGGCTCACAGGATCATCTCTGCTTGACTTCCAGGTGTGGAGAAGCCGCATCGGCCACAGGGGCTCCAATGGCTCAGCTGCCCAACGACTCCTGGCACAACAGCACAGTCCCCCTCTTCACCGGCCTGGACCTGCTCCTGGAGCTGAAGCCGCTCTTCATCCCTCTCTACGCCACGCTGGTGGCCGTGGCCTGTACTGGGAACCTCTTCCTCATCCTGCTCATCGCTCTCACCAAGAAGCTGCACTGCACCACCAACTTCCTGATCGGGAACCTGGCGGTGGCCGACTTCATCATGTGCCTGGCCTGCGTCCCCCTCACCGTGTCCTACGCCTTCGAGGCGCGGGGGTGGCTCTTTGGCGTGTTCATGTGCCACTTTGTCACCCTGCTGCAGGCTGCCACCGTGTTCGTGTCCGTGCTGTCCCTCACGGCCATCGCCATCGACCGCTACGTGGTGGTGGCGTATCCGATCCGCAGGCGGATCGGCCGCAGGGCCTGCGTGTGCCTCGTGGCCTGCATTTGGCTGCTCTCCATCGTGGCCTCCGTCCCCACCTCGCTGCACACCCACTACCTGGACCTCAACGCCATCGGCCACGACATGATCATCTGCGAGGAGTTCTGGAAGCACGAGGAGAGGGAGCGGCTGCTCTACTCGTGTCTGATGCTCCTCCTGTCCTACATGCTCCCGCTGCTGGCGGTGTCCGTCTCCTTCTGTGCCATCACCTACCGCCTGCGCAGGAGGAACGTGCCGGGCGCTGCCTATCGCTGCCAGGACAAGTGGACCAGGACCAAGCAGAAGACCTTCCGGGTGCTCACCGTCTCCGTGGTCTGTTTTGCCATCTGCTGGCTCCCTCTCCAGGTGGTCAACTTCATCCGGGACATCGACGAGGAGTTCACCATCCTGGACAAGAGGTACGTCAACGTCATCCAGGTCTCGTGCCACCTGGTTGCCATGAGCTCTGCCTGCTACAACCCTTTCATCTACGCCTCTCTCCACGACAAGTTCTGGTTCCACCTCAGCAGCTACTTCTACCGCAAGAAGAAGAGCTCTGGCACCGTGTCCTGCAAGGCTTCCCGGTTCAACACCTGCTCCACCCTGGCAGATGCTCCCACCAGCGCCTCGGATAAGATGGCTTTGCAAACCAGGTTATCTTAGCTGGAGGACCTCAAGGGAGAGGGTTTGCTTTCGGACCTGGCGGGCGCTTGCTTTCAGACCCTGGCGGGGAGGTGGCTGCTGGTTGGGCTGGTTTGTTGCTGCTCCCAGAAAAGTCTCTCGTGCCTGGAAAGGCAACAAAACTGACAGGCTTTGTGTCCTAGAATTATGGAATGGTTTGGGTCGCAAGGGACCTTAAAGCTCTTCTCATTCCAACCCTCCTGCCACGGGCAGGGACGCCTTCCTCTAGCCCAGGTTGCTCCAAGCCCCATCCAACCTGGCCTTGGACACTTCCAGGGATGGAGAAAGTGTCCTCATCACTTGAGCAGCTCAAGGATATTTTGTTCTTTGGGGACAACAAACCAGTGCAACAACAAACACCTGAGCCAGGCAAAGGTTTTGATGAAGCAGCAGTTTCTTGGCTCATTAGAACAGTGCAGTGGATGAGTGTCGTGGCTGGGCATGGGGCATATCCCTCTATCCCAAATCCTGGCTGGGTGTAGTAGGTGTCCAGCGCCGTATCTGGAGCACAAAGACTTCACCCCGTGGCATATTTAGAAGGTGGGTCAGCGCCTGAGCAAGGCAAACACCCCTGGGGCGCATTTGCAAAACTCTTTGGAGAGCGCACGTCTTCGTTCTGTAGGATAAAGATTGTTCCTAAGCAACAGGCAGCACTTTGTGCCGTGGGAAGAGGTCGGCTCGCACGGGGAGCCGTGAAATTGCTGCGCATTTATTCTTTTAAATTGTGGTTTATTGGTGGGAGGACAAAGGAGGCTCAGAAACGTGCGTTCTGCAGGTGGAGATGGGGACACGTGGCCGCCGACAGCAGGCGGCTGGTTTGGAACGGGGGGGGGACTCCATAACCTGCCTGGCTCGCTGGAGGAGCCACCCCTGTAACCAGACCGGGCATCCCAGTTTCTCCAGCCAGATGTGCAGATGCAGCCAGGCTCATCCCTGAAATCATTGCTGCTCTGCACGGCCGAGTAGGACTCGAAAGATCCCAAGTGATGAGTTTTCTGGGGGTGATGCCTCAGTCTCTGCTCCCCGGGCAGTTTAAGTGGTGTATGTCCATGTTCAGGCTCCTGTGGTGGAGGTGGGAACCCAGTGCTGGGCTGCTCTCTCCCAGAAACTGCTGGATAAAGGGTGGGTTCTCCTGTCAGATGCTCCTTGGCATCTCAGGTGCCTCTGAGGCCCACCAGGCTGCTCCATGCAAGCAGCACACACAGAAAGCAGCAACTCCTTGCACCCACTGCCCAGCTCGGTTTTAACCTCTTGATTCCCCAGGGGAAGCCTTTGGGAACAGCCCCCAGACACCAACACCCCCACAGCCACCACGTCTCGGGGTCCCAGCAGCTGCTGGCTACCATGAGCTTCTGTGCTCTGTGGGGCTGAGGACTTTAAAGCCCCCAGGCAGCACATCCTCACCCCTGCATGGAAACTGCCCTGGCATTGCCCATCCCTCCTGCTTCAGCGAGCAGCTCAGGCTCTCCCGGGCAGACACAGCCAGCTGGATCCCAACAGGATCCCTAATCCACTCCCCTTATGCCCATCTACAAGCTGCTGCTCGCTCACCTTCCTGCTGAGACCTCCATGGTGATCCTAGAGGGACCATATGATCTTGGGCGACCAGCGGAGACAGGGACGCATCCAATGTGATTCCAGTGACCTCTATCCCGTTCCCACAGAGCAGCTCCCTCCTTGGCTTCCTGCATCTTCCTTGGGGCTGGGCTGGGCTGCTCATCCCAGAGGAGCCAAGCAAAGCCCTGATTGTCCCTCCTGTAATAAAGGCTTTAAAAGTTCAGGCTGTGTGTGTGTTGGTGTGAATCCCACAAAACCAAGAAATCCTTGACTGCAGGTCAGTCACATCACAGGAGGATGCTGACTTGGACGTATTTAGCTCTGTCCCCATATTTGTCTGATATTTCTTCCCAATATCCCACCTAACCCTGTCCTCTGTCAGCTTGAAGCCTTTCTCCCTTGTCCTCTCACTACCAGTGTTGATTCCTTCTCTCTTAATTTCCTCCCATCACAACCTCTATTACTTCACTCTTAATTAAAACCCCTAAATTGCCCTAAATGGCTCTTCTTGCCCTTTTTTATCCTCCCAGCTCTGGCTCAGAGACATTATTGTGACAAGGTGGGTGGCTTGGAAAGAGGAGACACCCCCCCACACTCATCCCCATCACTGCAACCATTTATCTGCAGGATCATTTAAAAATCCATATATCCACCCTGGAGAACTGATCCACAAAGAGGACGAGGTTTCCTCTTCCGTGTTTTCCAGACTAGACTGGAATTTGCAGTTACTGAGCACCGGGAGAGCAAATCCCCACCCTCAGGTCCCCCCGCTGAGATGTTTTGCTCATTCCCCAAATTACCCTGCGGGGAAAAGGGAAAACACTGTTTTGGGGGGGGGGGGGTGGATTAAAAGCTGAGTGACCTCTGAGAATAAATCCAGAAATCCCGGAGCCGCCGTCTCCGATTCACAGAAACCGGATACATAAAGGAGAGCACCGTTTGTTTTCTTAATGGAAGTAAATTAATTAGATAAACTGGGGAGGAAAACATGCTTGAAGGCTGATTCTGCGGAGCTTTCCTCGCTGGGAGGTTTTCTACCAGGAACCTGTGGGTATAAAGGGGATATTTTTGTTAAATCATCCTCAGTTATTAATAGTTTTGCCCAATATTTTGCCTGAGCATGTTTCCTCCTCACAAACTCTCTTGTCAGTTGAAAAATGGTTAATAATGAATGGACTCTGTGATCTTAAAGGTCTTTTCCCAACTAAACAATTCCATAATTCTATGATCCTCTTTTCTACTGGCATTTGGTGCCTGTAGCTCTCCCACCTGCCAGGACACAGCCCAGGAACATCCAAGATCATCTGTTTGGAGTTGTCATTGACTTGGAAACTGGGAATGCTGCATTTAGGTGGATCTCCATCCGCTTTTTGCTCACATAATCCTCCTTAGATTGATTATAATTAGTGATTTCAATAGCCCAGATACGTGACTTCAGCCTCCCTGTTTGTTTTTGTCCCCCGTGCCCACCCTCCAACCACCCTCCTACCTCTGGTGACTCGGTGGCTTCTTCCTCACACTCTGGAACCCAGGATGCTGACACTTCCCTGAGTTGTGTGAGGGCAGCTCCAAGAACCACCTTCCTGAATGACAACCCCCAGCATCAGCTTTGGGCAGGGATTTTTAAACTGAATGAGGACAGGGTTAGATGGGTTATTGGGAAGAAATCCTTCCCTGTGAGGATGCTGAGGCCCTGGCACAGGTTTGCCCAGAGAAGCTGTGGCTGCCCCTTCCCTGGAAGTGTTCAAGGTCAGGCTGGATCGGGCTTGGAGCAACCTGGGATAGTGGAAGGTGTCCCTGCCCATAGCAGAGGACTGGAATGAGATGAGCTTTAAGGTCCCTTGCAATCCAAACTGTTCCAAGATTCCATGATTCTGTGCCTTAGCACCTGGCATGGAAGAACAACCACACCTCCTCCCCAAACCTCCTCATTTCTCATCTCATTTCTAATCTCCCTCTGCCTTGGGCTGTTTAGAAAGCTGGAAAACTTCCCTCAGTGTAATGACCCTGCCAATGGGGTTTTCCTCGTCAGAAACCTCCAAAAGGGAAAATACTGGAGACCAACAGTGGGATTTAACAGCAGGAAGCACCTGGGCCATTTAGGCTCAGCCTGTTTAGATGTCTACAGCTCTAAGGGGCAGATAATGTAATTTATTACAGTGCTGTTCTTTCGAAAGCACTCAAGAGATTATTATTTGAAAGAGCTTACCTACATGCAAGGTATTATTCCCATTACTTGATCCCCATCCAGGTTTCTCCCACGGCTGCAGATGATGAGGGCCTTTGTCCTGGCGCTGCAGAATGAATCGCGATGAGCAAGGATCAACGCTGCTTCCATGTGTACTCCTGGAAATTTCCTCCTTTGTCTCCTAATCAAGCACAGCAAACAAAATTAGCCTGGTAATTTTCCACTGGTTTTAGCCTCCACCCCCCCCTCGCTGTGTTTGTTCTGTCTGGATGTCATCAGTGATGACAAAACAGCCAGAACAGAGGAGCTCCTCAGCTGAGCCGGGATTGTCGGGCAGATTTTGTTTGTGGAGCTGGAAAATGCTTAGAAAACGTTGGTTCATTTTGTGTCATTACTGTTATTTCCTGGCTTATTAAGAATAATATTCCAACCCCAAGCCACCGCTTCTGATTTCCTTGATAGGTCTTGCAAAATACCTTTCACATTTCTCTGAGCAGATTCCATGGGCTGTGACCAGCTGTGCCCAACTCTTTCTTCCTGGGCCTTGGCTCCAGCTAAAGAGGCAGATTTGCAACATGCACATGAGTAAATGAGGCTTATTTTCACTTATTTTGCCTAAAAACACAGTTGCTACAGCTCAGGCCCCAGTAATGATCCTGGAATGGTTTGAATTGAAAGAGGCTTTAAAGCTCATCCAGTCCCACCCCCTGCCACGGGCAGGAACACTTTCCACTATCCCAGGCTGCTCCAAGCCCCATCCAACCCGGCCTTGGACACTCTGGGGCTGGATCCCATGGGATCAGACGGCCTGAACACCTCCCCATGGATGTCACCTCTCTGTGAACCGCTGGATCCTTCCGCAGTGGTGAATTATTGAAAGCACCGCAGCTGATTTATGGACGCGCCCGCTTCCGACTCATCCCGTATTCCCCCGCTGCCTCCGCTCGCCGTGAGACGCTCCGGAGCACTCACATTTTAATTTCTGTAAGCGTGGCAGGCTCCCGCTGCAGCAAACGAACCAAGGTTTCCTAAAGCCCGGTTTACTTCTCATCCATCAGTTTTATCCGTCATCCCGCTCCCGCAGCCGATGCCAAGAAGCTCCTTAATCACACGCCACGGTCACTGTGTCCTCGCTCAGGGAAAAATCTGGCACTTGCCAGACTTAATTCAACATTGTCCCCGAGCTGGTGATGAGAGATGGGGTGCTTTGTGCCAGTCCCAAAAACCTACAGCCACATCC